TGGGTTAAATTCCCATTCTCCCCTCACTGCAGCACACCCTCTCCCAGGTATCCGGTGCTGGACAGCCTTATCATTCTCGCTGCAGGATTTTCCCGGAGATTCCTGGCTGGTTTCCCTCCCCTCTCAGGGTCGGAACCCAATGGCCACACTGAGGCCGCTAGGTGCAGCGCAGCTCACGCTGTGGCCGCTCGGAGCTCTGCAGCTCCCAGGGGGCAGAACCAAGCCAGTGCTTACAGTCCCCCTGCTACCTGTCACCACCTGGCCCCCTGTACCCTGTGTATACTCATCTACTTCCTAACCCTGCTACAGACCCGTTGCACTCCGGGCTGTACATCAGGCTAAGGCATGGGCCCTTCTCGGAGCCCCAGCTGTGCCGTTTCTTCCAAGACCTCATGGCTGGCAACCTCACTTCCCACAGCCTTGACTCATACTCGGCTTCTCTATAAGCTGTTCTTGGCCAGCTTATCTATAAGGTCAAACCATTGTCCCCTAGCTCGGAGGTGGTGTCGAGACAAGATAAAGGCTGCGCCGTATCAGCTACGCATTGCACCATATTTAAAATACCGGGCATATTTTACAGACATCAGAGCAGAGACTTCCACTGCCTTTGTTTTGAGTTACTCTAAAGAGCAGTTGCTGGGCGCTGAGCCCTGCGTGCATAATTGCTGAGCAAGTGCATCGCAGTTCTTCCTGGGCCTCTTGGTGTGTTGTAGCGTCCTGTAAGAGGTTCCTGGTGCAAGGACATCTGTTGGGGAACTTGGGTGCGCAGCTGGTGGAGGAAGGAGAGGATGTCCTGGGTGACCACCCAGAGGCTCTGCCCAGGAAGTATTGGTGGCCCGGGGAGCCCTGGCAGTTTGTGGTTCCCTGAGCTTAAGGTTCTCAGAAACGGGGAAAGAGCTGGAGAAGCAGACAGCAGCTTGACCTTCGCACGCAGCACAAGGAAGCAGGCTTCCCCTTCGACTGGGGCTCTGAAAGTCATAAAGAGGGGACGTGGGGTCAGCTTTAGGTTCTAGACTGGTTGCTGTCACGTTCAAGAAGGGCGCTTTACATAATCTGGGGAAAAACCATGACAGTGACAGCTAGGATAGTGGTTGGGGTGGATAGAAGGACTAGGAGGCAACGTGGGCTGAAGCTGTGCAGCCTTGATGATGTTGGCTGGGGAGCTGCGGGGTGGGGCAGAGCAGGCTTGCTTTGTTGTTGGGTAGAGGACAGCGGGGTGATGCTGACTTGGACTTTGCCTACTTGGCTTTGGGGTGGCCATAAAGCGTGTGGGTGCATGCAAAGCTGAGGAGCAGGGTGCAGTGGGGACACAGAAAGACGCGTGGTGGAGGAAACATCACCCAGGAGCCTGTATGTGACCAGCCCTGGGCAGGACTAGGGATGGAGAAGACTGGGAGTGTAAGGGGATCAGAGGGGAACCCAGAAAAAGATGTCTGCAGGAGGACACAGAGGCCAGGGCGGAGGCAGAGATTGATGAAGTGACATTGAGAGATGCAACACAATAAAACTTAAGCAGTTCATTGGATTTGGCAATCGCAGGTTCGTGGCCAGCTCTCATTTCTTTTAGTAAGTGTTGGGTGTATGTTTTGTGTCAGGATCTAGGCAAGTTCATTTAATAAAATAATGAAAAGACACACATGCCCTACCCTGTGTAGACCTTGCCCGTGGCAGGTAGGGGATTTGAGCAGAGGAATACAGACCTTGCAGTTGTGAAATATAAAGTAATGGTTAAGTGAAATAAACAGGACGCTCAAGCTTAACTGTCCCATGGTTTCTCTTATAAGAAACCTAAAGTACAAATAAAGATCAGAATAAAAGATGGACAACAGGAAGTAGAGATCTTTCTGGAAGGGGGCAGGATCAGGAGATAGAGGGGGATAAGAGGAGAGAAGGTGGTGTTCTGCGCTTGGACCGGCGCCACAGAAGGCTGCTGCGCACATGGGCCGATGAAAACCCTGTGAAGTAAACGACAAAGCATGCAAGAAGTGCAGCCACAGGGCTGTGCTGGCGCCTCGTGTCCTGGCTTTACAGGTAGAGTGCCGTCGCTCTTTCTGGCGCCCGTTAGCTGCTGAGGGGGCGACTGTCCCTGCCCTAGGAGGCCCTGCCGAGCACGCTGCCTGCCACCTCCTCTTCTCCCTGGCGTCGGGGCTCCTGAGTGTATGGGCTCATGCATTTAGTGGGTGCCCATCTGCACCAGAAGTACACGAAGGGTGGAGCTGTGCAAGACGTTATTCAGGAGCAAGTAGCTGTTTGGAGAGAGTGGGAGGCACCTGGGTGTCTCCTAAACGTGGGCCTGCGGCCTGCTGGGAAGGGCCTGGGGCAGCAGAACAGCGAGCACGTGTGCTCCTGAAAAGCTTGGGGACATGGAAGGGTGAGGTGCTCATCCGCCTGGGACCCCATGGGACCAGAGGACGGATATACTAGGACGGAGGTGACGGCCCCACGACAGCCATGAGTGTGCGTGTGAGGCGTGAGTCCTGCGCTGGAAGGCTCCAGGGCAGCTGCCTGGGAGGTGGGGAGTCCCTGTCCTCCAGCCTCAGGACTTTGCACCCCAAGAGTGAATCACAGGAACTAATTGGAAACACACATGAAATCTCTGGTGTCAGTCTTCAGCGTCACTGTAGGAGAGGCCCAGTGATTGGAAACTGTCCTCTTAGTGGTATTACCTCAGACAGACTTCCACAACAGAGCGACGGCTTAGGGTTCCTTCGGGTTTCTGTTTCTGGTAACTACTTCTGAACAGCTGGCTTTTCACTGGTCTTGGCCCGGCCTGTGGCCCCTGCTGTGGCAGTGGAGAGTTCACTTCATTTCATTCATCCCCCTTTCTTTCTTCTTCCAGCTCTTAGTTCTCACTAGTTTTATTCTCTAAATAATGTAGTTTAACTCTTTGACTCTATTTCCTGTTAAGTGGCAGGTTTATTTCTGTATTGGAAAATGTAGTATCATTTGCATTTCGATCTAATGTCATTGTTAATGCTTTGGGGTTTTTCCCCCCTAAAGTTGCCTGTATTGAAAAAACAGTTGGGCATTTGCATAATCCAGTGGATTGCGAATGCGGGGTTGTGTTTCTTTTCCTGTGAGATCGGAACTCCCTGAGTGAGAGTATCTCGCTCCCACTCAGTCCTCCTTCATGCCATGTCCTGTTGCGGCACTCGTGTGCCTTTTAGCCTGTGTTTCCTGATAATTCTCCTCGGGTTTCTTTTCTCCTTGGGGAGCATCGAAGTACCCAGGTGTTCATCGTGTTGTGACATAGCTCCTCAGGAATTTCATTGGCTGGTTGTGGTCTGTGGTTACTCGTGGCCTCCCTACAAGCGGCGTTTATGTCCACAGCCTCTCAGCCTCCAGCCCCAGCCCACTTTTAAACACAGTTCACTCCACAATTCCAAAATCCTAAGATCCTACTGGCTACTTCCTAGGCCTTTCTTTCTTGGTTTATTCATCTATCTGAGCAGTCAGTACTTGCCTGTAATATGTTGCTCTCTGTTTGTCACTTCTTTGAAATTGTCACAGTTCCCTCCAGACTCCTTGGACAAGCAGGTAGCTGGGTAGGTGGTTAGCTGATGATAGACAGACAGGTACATGTGCACATGTATTTTCCAGAGGAAGATGTACCGCTTCTTTGGGATTTGCTCCATCTTGCCACCTTGGGTTTCCCTCCTCACAAGGTCTCCTTTCTTTCCTGGATGATTTGATCCCATCCCCATAATCGTTGACCAGTTGTCTACAAAATACACTTCCACCAGAGCTCACAGACTCACACTGCATTAGGCGGAGAAAAGCGTAACTGCAGATGAGATACGAAAAGTTGTCACCTCTGGCCCAAGCTTCGGGAACAGGAGCCAGACAGATGCTGGGGGGTCTGACTCTTGTGTTTGCAGCTCGGGAAAGCCTTTGCTGTGGCACAGCTACCAGGCAGCATCATGCACAGAAGCTTAGAGGAGAAGATAAAACTTCTGAGCAAAAGCTCATCTATGTAGATCTGCACATACACGCACACGTATGTAGGATGTATGTGCTCCACTGTGTGTGTTTATCATCACAGTGGGAGGGTGTCAGGTGCACTCATTGGAAACAGAGGTGAGGTCAAGCCACACCCGCCTGGGGGAAGCAGGGTGGAAAGACCACGGGATCCCGTCCGTTCTCCTGAGGGCTGGCCGGTGTGCCCACAGGACTTTTCTTTTGATGAGATAATGCTGAATAATGTGCATTAATTATTTCTCTAACTGTGTGCACACAGGTGAGCAAGGGAGGCTGCAGCTGTACACAAGATCCACGAGAACTCTGTATTTCGAGAAGCAGGGATGGGGTTGTGCTGTCACCTGGGGGCTCGAGACGGTGCGGGAAAGGGCGCCGAGAAGGGCAGTCCTTGTCTCATGTGGGTGCAGCCTCAGCTGCGCGCAGCTGCACGGTGCAGAGAGTGGTGCTGGCTGCCGGGAGAGCATTGCAGAGAGGACCTTGTAAACACTGTATTTGCAGAGGGAACTACAGTTAGGAAAGAAGTGCTCCCACCAGCACGTGCACTTCTGCTGTCACGCGGCCTTAGCAGAGAGATTGCTGCCCCTGACATTTCCGGAGGAGTCACGTGTCCCCCTCTCGAGGAATCCTCTCCCATCTCTCTGTGTTCCCCAGAGTCATTCCATCCTTGCTGATTGTAGCTTAAAGGAAATACACTGCCCCGGCATCGTGCATTGTCTCCTACCCGCCGAGTTAGGCATGTGTCAGGAAAGGCAGGCGAGTCTCCCCTGGAACATGCGTGCTTGTGTGCCGGTCAGCACGAGCCAGCACCCTGAGAAGGTGAAATGTTTCTGCTCCTGCATGCACAAGAGCGTTAGGAAACTCGAGTCTTGGAGGTTGTGATGATAAGCAGACCGACAGCATTGGGCGAGCCACCCAGGACGTTCCTTTTGGTGAAATTGTAAGTGTTGTTCCTAAAATGTGCCCGATTTCACTTTCTAAGAACTGTCATGGCCCTCTTCTCTCCGTCTCTTTCTCCGACACAGATCCACATCCAGAAAACTGAAGGGTGTGACCACATGACCTGCTCACAGTGTAACACTAACTTTTGTTATCGGTGTGGGGAGAGATACCGCCAGCTCCGGTTTTTTGGAGACCACACATCAAACCTCAGCATATTTGGATGCAAATATCGCTACCTCCCAGAGAGACCTCATTTACGGAGATTAGTGCGAGGGTCAGTCTGTGGTGAGTGTCTGACCTGCTCGTGGGAATGGGGATCCTCCCTGAGAGTGGATGAAGTAGCGGAAGTAGAATTTGGATTCGGAGCACTTGCTGCGTGCCTGCCGGGTATTCTCCTAGGGCCTTTGTTCCAAAGCAGGAGAATTCTTTCTTTCTCTTTCTCTTTCTCTTTCTCTTTCTCTTTCTCTTTCTCTTTCTCTTTCTCTTTCTCTTTCTCTTTCTCTTCTCTTTCTCTCTTTCTCTTCTCTTTCTTTCTCTCTTTCTTTTTCTCTCTTTCTCTTTCTCTTTTTCTTTCTCTTTCTGTTTCTCTTTCTCTTTCTGTCTTTCTCTTTTTCTTTCTCTTTCTGTTTCTCTTTCTCTCTTTCTCTTTTTCTCTTTTTCTATTTTTGTCTCTGTCTCTGTCTGCCTGTCTCTTCTCTGTGTGCCTGTGTCTACGTGTGTCTATCTGACTCTCTCTCTCTGTTTCTGTGCCTCTAAAAAACCTTGATAGCTTCTCAGGTGCGGTAGCTTGCACCTGTCAGCCCAGCTATGGGGAGGGTGAGGCAGGAGGGTTGCTTGAGCTCCAGAGTTTGAGACTGGCCTGGGCAGTATACTAAGAGCCCCATCTCAGAACAAAGCAAAATCAAAAATATTTTTAAAAATTGAAAATATGAAACCATTACTCTTTGAAGTTTCTGAAGTGCTCCTGTGTGACACTTGGTAAGAGGAACAATGTCTCATTGGCTTTTGTTTGGGTAGCACCTGGGAGCATGTTTTACACACAGCTTCATTTCATTCATGAGCTACCTGCAATAAGATGTAGCATGGAACATGGTCCCGAAATACCAAGAAGAAAAGCTAGCAGGGCCAGCTAGATAGCTCAGCAGATTAAAGCGCCTGCTTAGGCAGGTGCAGGGGCCGGGGTTCCATCCCTGGCCTGCCCTGCGGACCCCACCATCTCAGCCCTCTGATGGTACTCGCTCTCCACAGTGGGCATAATCACCGGATGTGGCCCATATGGACTAATAAAAGTAAAAAAAAAAAAAAAAAAGTTAATGTTATTTAATTACAGCACTGAAATAGTACATATGATCGGGAGTGAGCAGTTTGAAAAATGTGTGTGCCCTAAGCCGGCTTGGGAGTATGTGTCGGGCTGAGGGATTTCCTCCATCCGACACCTTTGGTTTCCCTCCTCACAAGGTCTCCTTTCTTTCCTGGATGATTTGATCCCATCCCCTTAATCACTGACCAGTTGTTTACAAAACACACTTCTACCAGAATTCACAGACTCACACTGCATTAGTGGAAGAGATCTAAGACAAAAGCCCCAAAACAGTTGTTCTTGGTAAAATAAATTGATCCAATCACTTTGTAATATTCTCCTTTTTAATTACTTTGGAGTATTCTTTATAGATAAAGAATAAGTGATTTGTGAGGTGTTTGACACAGGTGCACACAACTTCAGTGGTTGGCCCTTGGGACAGTCCCTGTGAACGTACAGGTGTGCACCTGTGTTCGATACATTTCTTACAGAAATGTGGCCTTCGTTGTAATCCAGCTTACTAAAAACAAGCATTTGTTGTGGTATTGGTATTAAAAAGCCTTGCTGTAATTGTTGGTAAATTCATTTGGAGGCTCTTCATTTTTTCTTTTGTTTTCCAGCTGGAAAATTATTCATTGCACCTCTAATCCTGGTTTTGGGATTAGCACTAGGGGCCATAGCAGTCGTAATCGGTAAGAAACTCATCGTGTGTCTGAGATTGGGATCTCCGGGCGTCGACAGTGAGAGTCTGTGTAGTAGTGGGAGTCATTCACTGACCCAAGGTTTCTCTCCCGTGTGTGCTCGAGACAGCCGTCCAGTCTGGGATTTGTAAGTTCAGGAGAGCATGTGGGTAGAGGATCTCTTTGACACCTCTTAGCTCATGGATACTTGGATTTGTGCGTGTTCTAAAGCATGACTGTGTTAGCCCACTTGTAATACTGGGCAAAGGCATCTCGTACTTTACTGAAAAACTCAAGTGAACTAGACTTCAGTTTTTTAATTCTGAGCTCAAGCTGGACCATCAGAGAGGCTGTCTTACACCACGGAGTGTTGTAGGTTTAGGGAAAGGTGTCCTGCATGAAAGGATACCTGTGATGTACACAGGTTCAGATACCCGCATACACTTACACATGGAACAGTAGAAACCTTACCAATAATTTGCATAGTTTTGTGCATACAGGCATATTAAAATATGTATTTCGAAGCAGCACTTTCAGATCTTAGCATGCTTCAGAGTAGCCACAGTGCTAGTTAAAGCCTGTTACTGCCCCAACCGTGCCTGCCTAGGTATGAGTATGGCCTGGGAATCTGCATCTGTAGGAAGTTCCCAGGCGAGTGTTTTTGTAGTCCTTGGGCCCAAGGCCCACACTTGGACAGCGGCTGCATCAGTGACCATTCTGTATAGCAGGTGGGACTTTTTTGGCTAAAATGATTCTTGTATGTGAAATATTAGCCACTGATGCCTGGGTAGGGCGGAGAGAGCTGGAAGGTGCCTGATGGTGACACTCCTGCAGTGGGTGGGACTTCAGGGAGTAGCTGCTGTTATCTGTAGGGCACACAGAAGAAAGTGAGGCCCCGGGGACACCAAAAGCCACGAGGACGGGCCCAGGCCTGGCACGTGGCCCCACAGTCCGTGTTCTTCGGTGAGAGCTTACACTGCCACGGCGGAAGTGTGTCATGTGCAGCCTGCGGGAGGTGCGGCCCTAGATCGTGGGGCTGAGCCTGAGGTTTGGTACTTTGGAAGGCCGTGTTGTTCCATATTTAAACTGGTGTCAATGGGGATGTTAAAAAGAAAGAGGAGCAAAACAAAGTACCCGAGGCATTATAGAATAAATGCATGTCCGATGTCTTCCCTCTCCCCTGTGCAGTGCGAAGTAATGATTATTTTAAAGAGTTTACAGCTAAACTGATGTGGAAATTTGCAAATATATGAACCTGAATGCCTTTGTGCTTGGTTACCTGTCTTTATTTTTTATCCCTAGGTTTATTTGTATTTCCCATCTATTGCCTTTGTAAAAAACAGAGAAAGCGGTCACGGACAGGCATGGACTAGCGGAGTGCAGATGACCCTCCCCTCCCTGCCCAGCAGCCCAGCGGGGCAGCCACGTCTGTGAGTCACCCGGAGCCACCCCAGAGCCTTCTGTCACCGTCTCCGTGGTCCTCTGTGGCCGGCCACAGCACTCTAGCTACGGTGCACTCCCAACATGGTATCCTGCCCTTCCCTAAACAGATTGCTGCTTTTTAAAAATGGTCACTTTCATAAACTCTACGTTACCTGTATCATAACTCTGACCTTCGTGGTTCTTGGAAGAAAATATTTTATTTAAGAACCAGTTCTCCTCAGAATTGTTCTGAGGGCACGCCTCCCGAGCGCTGCTGGGACTGTCTTTGAACCCTCAACCCTCCGGCCTGTCCATGCGTGAAATGTGGTGTGGATAGTGACGTCCTGTCTGTCCCCCCGCAAGCGAGGCCACTTTTCAGAGCGTACAAGTTCACTGAAAGTGGCCATCCCCGTTCTGGCCTAAGCAGTAGTGTTCCTTCAACCTTCAGAGCCTGTGATTGCTAAAAAGCTCCATGCCCGCAAGGGAACTAATGAAACTAAAGTCATGAGAAAGATCAAGAGTCACTAAGTGTGTATGTGTAGGGATTGGGATATGTTTGTACATAAGTGTATATTAAAACTGAGCTCAATAACCTCGTGCTTATCTCCATGCCTTTACGCTACTTTTCCACACTTTCATGGACCTGTTTAGAGGTGATGGTTCCGTTGGGGCATAATTTGGGAATGGAGTAATTAAAGCTAGTGTAGATAGATAGCAGGCCGTTTCCATGGAGACCCTTTCTACGGTAAACTGAAAAAAAAACCAGGATGCTTTTAGGAAATTCTCAAGGCCCAAATAGTCTCTTCGTATTTCTCTTAGCATAAATGCTGTCCTGTATGAATAAATATTTCACATGAGATTATTTAATCCAGAGAACAAGTTTGCTGCAGCTCTACGCCACTATTTTTTTTTTTTTTAATTACCAACTTATAATTCTAGAAACTTCACTTTAGGCCAAGATTTTAAATTATTTAATGCATCACTTTTTTCCTTTTCTCTTTCTGTTTTTTATTTGTTCCCAAGTTTCATGAGAGTAAATCTTAGTCTTGAAGGATTTTTCCCATGTGTAACTGCTTAGATGCATAGTAATTTGTGGGATCTTTTTATGGGGGGGTAATTTAAAAACCAAGTTTTCTTTGTTCACAGATTCACTTAAGATATAAACTATTTTTAGAGAAGGAAACAACATTATAAAGTGTTTTCAGGACATTTTCTAAGGTGTGAAGTCTTTGAAAATAAAAGGACAAGTAATGAAACTTCCTTATTCTTTTGTTTTCATCACCAAAAACCAACAGCCTCAGTTGGAAGAAAAAACCTGAGGAGCCCTGAAGGCCCCAGTTGTCAGAGCCAAAGTTAAGCGCTGCATAGCAGGCAGTGTGGTTCATGCGTCTGCGACTCGCCAGACTCCAAACGCCTTCTGTGATGACACACGTGCATCAGCAGAGGAGGCTCCCCTCTCGTGGGCTCCAGGGTGTTAAAACAGTGTTTCATTTTTGTTTGCCCTTAAGCCCCTGACAGTCGAGGCTCACAGCCAGCACGCTCGCGTGCTTTCTCAGTCCCATCGCTTGGCGTCTTGGCTTCGGGCTGATGCTCTGTGGCAGGCAGAGGAGGGCATGGCCAATGTCGCTGGGGAACAGCGCACTTCTGAAGCCTCGCACGAGAGGAGACTCTTGCTCACAGGTTCGTCTTTCTGGGCTTCCACCCTTCCACTTGTAGGTGGGTACTGCACTGGTAAACCAGCAGAGTGAGTCTCTAGCCCAAGCGCATCTTTTCCAGTTGAGGCCCAAGTTGGCAGCGTGTGGGCGCGAGGAGCAGTCGCCACCCCGGTGGATCTGTGTGTCTCCGTAGCTGCCAGTGTCTGCACCGTGTCCTTCTGTGCCAAGTAGCTGAAAATATGCTCTGGCCCTAGAGCGTGTATTTTTTTAGGTTATTTTGTCTATTTGTCTTTGCCTTACTCAGGGATTTTTATTCCTTTCTTTGGATAACTTATCTTTTAGACCTATTTTTATATGAGTTGGAAAACTTTCCACTGTGCCAGTTCCAAAGCGCTGCGTTTCCCAGTCCACACTGTCTCCACGGTGTGTGGAGGCGGTGCCCTGTGGTGTGTGGGGCTTTCATTTTTGTACTGCATAGATTTTTAAAATAAATACATGCATTTTTCTCTTTAAACATTGATAGATATTAGGCTTTTTTTCTCCACTGGTCGCTTAAAATAGCTCTTTGTGAATTTTTTTTTTTTTAACTAGGTTTCAAGATCTTTAAAACAGACAAAAAGAAAAAGAGGATTATTTATGTCAGTGCCAACTTTAAGAGAAAACAATAGTAATAACTTTATTAGGATAAATTGTGAAAACTACTTTAGAAGCAAATGTATGCACAGTATAAAATATCTTTCTATCCAAGGCGTGTTAGTTTTATATGCTTTGATTATAAATTTAATATATGCTCCCTTAAAATCAAGCTACATATAGAATTATGAAGTGACAGGTTCTGTTCACCCCACCCCTCTTTTATAGGGGTAGCCGCTGTTCATGGTCTGTATGTGCTCTTCCAAACACTTTCTGCACATTTACAAATACATACGTGTGCTGTGTGTGTACATTGTGTTTTATTAGTTTTATACAAATAGAATAATAACACTCTTTGCTGTGACTTTTGCATTGTATTATAGCTTGATAGATGCCTTTCCGTAAGAGTTTGTATAGCTTTACCTCATTCTTTTGTAAATTATTGCATAATCCATTGTAGGACTATACCTTAATTGACTTAATCTCCTGTTGCGTAGACATCAAGGGCGTTTTCACATCTCTCTTACAAAGTACAATGAAGACCCTTTTTCTGTGTATTTTTCACCATGTGTGAGCACGTCCATAAGTTTTTAAATTTGGCTTTTAGCTGGTATTTTTAATAAAAAAATTAGTGCATTTTGAGGAAATGAAAGCATAGAAATAAATGTACTTAATAGTAAAATAAAGGATTTTAGAATAAAAAGATTGTATAAGGAGCGTGTAAGTGTTAAAGAAAGCAACTTGAGAAGGATAACTTCTGCCCGCCTGACTCGCTCAGTAGCCCCTTGCCAAAACAGATATAAGAAAATTACTCATTTTTCAATAGAAATAAAGCATCTCTCAGATAAACTGAGAAGGATGAATTCACTTTAGGGTCACCTGCTCTTAAAATGTGAAGGAAATAAATGATGCTCAAGCCAAGGTGATTATTCCTGTCACATCTTTAAAAGCACTGTCCAAGCCCGCGCCTGTCACACCACCCAGGAATGTGAGAAAAGCAGGAAACCACACATTCAGTTACGGATGCCACAGCAGGGCCAGAAGACCACACTCTTAAGTTCGCAGAGACGATTGTGAGTTATAGAACAGCCGGGAGCATTCGTTCGTAATGAACTCACTCCCCCTCTTGGGGGCTGCTGGTGTGGAGTCAGAGCAGAGAAGTCAAAACCCAGCTCCACACAGCATCCTACTACCAGCACCTAATGCCCAGCAGGTGCCGCTGGGTCCTGAGAGGAGAACGGACAGGCACCAGCCAGGCGACCACGTGACACCTTTCTGTGCACTTGCATGCTGTGGGATCAAGGTTCAGTGGTGGGCTGGAGAGATGGCTCAGTGGTCTAAAGCACCTACTTAGAACAAGCTT